ATCTGCTGCTGGGGGTGAGGCAGGAAACCCTCGGGCGCTCTGGTCCCAGGCAAAGGCCTTTGCCTCTGGGTAGGGACAGAACCTTGCCCACACCCCCCACCCTGCACTGACATGCAGGAGAGGGGCTCAAACCCAAGATCCACAAAGATCCACAGAAGAGGTCTGCTGCTGCCCGAAGAGGAGCGGGAAACTCACTAATGCCCAAACACTCCACGGATACAAGGCCGAGTTCAGCCGCCCTCTAGACCTGTGCCGTACAATTGAACTTTCTGTGATGAAGGAAACGTTCTATATCTGTGCTGTCTGAAACGGTAGACACAAGACACGTATCCTATTAAGCACTTGCAAAGTGGCTAGTGTGAATGAAAAAGTGCAATTTTATTTTTATATAATTTCAATTAATTACAACCAATTAACTGAAATGTGTGGCTAGTGGCTAGGACACTGCATCCCTAGACCCTGAACTGAGGCAGAGGCAAAAGTTGCCCACCACTGGGGCAGGGGTAGGAATGCTGAGAAAGCCCCATCCTGGAGGCTCAGGTGCATAGAACCTGACTCATTCTAACGCTAGAGCAGGAGAATCAAGAAAGCCCTCTGTCCCACTCAAGTCTTGTGCTGAGTAACAAGCAGTGGATGACTACAACAGATAGAGGGGCAAAGGCAGAGAGAGAGAGAAACCTCTTCTGTGGTGAGGGCATGAAGGGTCTGCTAAAACCGGATAGAGCAGAATTACTGTGGAAAACCCCTGGCCCTCCAGACCTCCCACTGACAATAAGGAAACAGCAGCCCACCACTGGAGGAGCTTAAAGCCTATGGTAACCATAGCAACAACAAAACCCAACTCTAGCTCAACTACTAACTAGATTAGTTCAACCCCTTACATTCAAGGCCTGGCAGAAGAGGTGTACCAATTTCCAGGCACAAATAGTATCTATTTCAGTCTCTACTATTCTTTTACACACAATAAAAGGCATTGAATCAAAATTTTGTGTGACACTCAAAAAGCAAACCCTCCCCAGCCCATTATCAAGAGATAGAATAGATGACACAATGAGATCGAAAGATGGTCCAGATGGTGGAACTATCAGAGAATTTAAAATAACTATAATTAATATGTCAAAGAATCCAGTGAAAAGGTGGACAACATGCAGGAACAAATGGGCAGTTTCAACAGAGAGATGGAAACTATTCAAAAAAGCCAAATGGAAACACTAGAACTGAAAAACATGGTATCAAAGATGAACTCCTTCAATAGGCCAACCGGGCACGACAGAGAAAAGAAGCAGTGAAATTGAAAATTTGTCAATAGAAATTAGAAACACAAAGATTCAAAGAGAAAAAATCCATGATTAAAAACCAAAAGCAAGCAAAACAAAATAAAAATGAACAAGAACTATCAAGAGCTACAGGACGATATCAAACCATCCAACATATGTAACTGGCATTCCATGAGAAGAAGAGAAAAAGAAAGAGACCAAAGAAATAGTTGGAAAAAAATAGCTGAGCATTTTCCAAAATTTAACTAATATTAACAAACCACAGATACAACAGGATGAATACAAAGAAAAGCACATTTAGCACAACATAGTCAATGTGCTAAAAACCAAATAGAAAGAAAACGTATTGGAGGAAATGAAGAAATTACCATCCCTGCCTCTCCATGAAAGACCAATGACTGTTTAGCCTTTTAGCAAAATTAGGATTTCAGCAAAAGTATTTCTCACACTTGGGGCCCTTGCTGGGCCCTATAAACAATACCCAGAGGGACTCTGTGTTCCTTCTCAGAGGCGTCCACGCAGTAACTGCAGAATGCAAACCATGGGGTGAAGGCATAGCACGGCATTTAGTGTAGACCCACCAAAACTTCTTAAAGATGTAACTTGCTAAATCATATCGTTTTTGTTACTGTTGTTGTAATGGAATTAAAATTTGCTTTTGAAATAAGATTTAAAAAGTCCGGAATTAGAGCTATCTAAATACCAAACATAAATACAAAATTGAAACTGAAATGTATTATGGTCCAAATACCATACCCCAAATATGGGGTCCAAAAAGGGTATCTTTTTTCGTGTGTGTGAGGAGATCAGCCCAGAGCTAACATCTGCCAATCCTCCTCTTTTTGCTGAGGAAGACTGGCCCTGGGCTAACATCCGTGCCCATCTTCCTCCACTTTACATGGGACGCCGCCACAGCATGGCTTGCCAAGCGGTGCGTCGGTGTGCACCCGCGATCAGAACCGGCAAACCCCAGGTTGCCACAGTGGAGCGTGAGCACTTAACCGCTTGCACCACCGGGCCGGCTCCAAGGGTATCTTTTTTGAATTAAAATTTATAACCCCAAATAATACCAAATGTATTAATACCAAACGTACACAAAACCCAAATGAGAAAATAGGAACTTGCAGAGATTGTTCCTCTAGAACCTTTTTCAAAAAGTCTCTTGTGGTTCTTGATATTAACTTGACTGCATTAGCTGATAATTAGCTTGTGAAAACTGTCACTAATATGCAAAGAACATCTCTATTTATCTAATGCTTGGAAAACAGGATTTCACAACTAAAGCCATCTGTGATAAAATATAAATATTGCATGAAAAAGAAAAATTAAAGAAGAGTTTGAGGCAAAACCCAAAAGGCTTGTATCTATTCCTCTGTTCCTATGCTAGTGCTCTCTACGAACCGTGTGGGATTCTGTCTAAATCCTGGGTGCTTCTAGTCGAGCCCTCTCTGGCATTCCCTGAGCCAAGGCTGGGGTTTGTTTTCTTCTCTGTGCAGTTACAACTGCTTGAGGGCTGCTGACAAGGTACCACCTGCACCTGGTGCAAGTTTGGAGATCCTTGAGTAAGGCTCAAATATTCACAAGAACATGAGACTTTTAAATTTGGCGTCATTGCTGCAGTTTGTTTAGTTTGAAAATACACAGGAAAGTATATCAGAATCAGCGGGATGAGAAAATATTTAATTGAATAAAAGGCAAATGTGTGTAGTAGGTGAGGGCGTGGTCTCTGCAGCCAACGCCCAGGTCTCTGCCTGGATTCCAGTCTCAACTCTGCTACTCACTTGCTTGTACCTCAGTTTATTATTTTTTAAAAAGGGATCATAATAATACCTACCTCATAGAGTCTTAAATGAATTGTTAAATTCATTAATGAATTGGTGTGAGGCTTCTTAAATGAATTAATAAATGTGAAGGCCTAGAACAGTACCTGGCATGTAATTAGTGGTCTTTGTACTTATTTTAACTATTTGTATTAGTCTCATGAATAAATTTGATATTAAAACAAAATAAAAAACAAATTAGCTGAATTGGAAATATCACCCTTTCTTGAGAAAACCCAAAAGGTATTTTTTCCTGCAGTGATGGAAACAGTCTCCTCTGTGGTAGGATCATGACTATCATCGGTAATCATGTGAAACAATATAATATGCACCCAGAATGCCCATATTTTGGTTAACATCACTAGTTTCAATGAGAAGAACCATGGTTCCTCTGCCTGTATGTTGGCATCTTTAAAACACATTATTGACACCTCTGTGACAACTGTATACATATAAAATAACCTTCTAACTACACTAAAACTAACTTACACCTCCTTAATAATGCTCACTGCGAAATAAATATTTTGAATACGCATATTTAAGTCATTATGAGCAATAATATTTGTCTAATCCTTTACTGTTTATAAAGTAATTTTATATCTAGTAAATACAGTCATGTGCCACATAACGATGTTTCGGTCAACAATGGACCACTTATGCGATGGTGGCCCGGTAAGATTAGTAGCAAATAGCCTAGGTGTGTAGTTGGCTATACCATCTGGGTTTATGTAAGCACACTCTATGATGTCTGCACAGTGAAGAAATAGCCTAACAACACACTTCTCAGAACGTGTCCCCATAGTTAAGCAACATATATACTCCAATTCCTAATATTCATATAACATTAATATATTATAAACCAAGACGAGAAACCTGCTATAAATTTGCTTTAATGAGTAGAGAAGCTGCCTCCCTGTTCCACCACAAAGATAACAGTATTTTCTTAACAGGACCTCAGAGTGTATCTTTCATGGCCTACAGAACTGAAGTGGAAGGCCAGAATATTATTATGCTGGAAAGGATATTATCATTATGTGTTTTCCTAAAGTTTTTATTTTATAGCTAAGGTAAAAAAGGAAATCCGGGAGAGGCCTAAATCAGAATTGTCCTTAAGGGGATTAGGCACGTCTCTTAAAATTTGAAAAAATATGTCCTTTATATACAGACTATAAGCACTTTTAAGCAGCCAAATTGAAAAGATAATGCAGTGAAAAGACAGAGAGAACAAAATCAAGAAGAGCTATTTAAAACAACATGATATTTCCAAATGGAAAGTTCATATAAAGTGTCTAATTGTGCCCTAAACTAGAAATGTATCTGGATGGAGTGTGAGCTGCTCACATTTTCTGGCAGATGCTTGAGTCTGGAAAAGTCACTTAAAACAGAATGACAATAGTCCAGTGAGAGGTGTTGACAGCAGAGGAACAAAGGGCACTCTCGGCAAAAGAATGTAACCAGCGCCAGGCATGCCCAGTAAAGCAATGAGCTGTCCTCCCTTGTTTTCCACCTCTCCTAATAATTTCCACTATTTTCAATGTCTTTCTTGCAAATATACTTGCTCATATATATTAATTAACAGTCACATGCTGACAGACTCGCCTCCATTCAAGAATGTTCCCATTACTGGACAATACTCTGCAAGACAACATCTTATTTTTAGTATTAAAATGTTACAATCTATTTACTTGGTAGTTTGTCATTTATAACACTTACAGACTGACTCAAAATTCAAAGAATGGGGATCCTTTTGGGGTTTGGATGTTTTTTTCTTTCATTGTTTTATCGTTAAAAAAAAAAATATCCCCAACATCACCTTTATTTTCTCATGTCAAGTCAAATATCTTTTTTAAAAAATAAGCATGGTTTTTATAATCAATATTAATGAGACAGAATATAATCTTACCCTGGTGTGAGTACGAATGTGCATCTTCAGTCCATCATTTTTACTGAATCCTTTTTCACAGTAAGGGCATTGATAGGGACGCTCACCTACAAATAAAGAAAGTCACCAAGTCAGCAAAACGGAAAGCAGCAAGCAAGCACTGTGCCATCGCTCCCCCCAGACTCAGATCTGGTCACCATGTACACTCCGGGCACCGCCAAGGAGAGGTTCCAGGAATAGCCAGGTGACACACCAGGGGCAGCTGAGGGCAGTGGACTGCCGCCGTGCCCTCCTGAGGAGAGGGACTGAGCCCAGAGCACTTCCAGCACGCAGACACAAACAACATCGGCCAGCAGCAGGCTTCCTGCATACTCCTTTTAACTCTTGAGTCCCAATTACATCTCCTAATTTTAAGAATTTGTTAATAGGATTTTATATTAATCAATGTGTTCTGTCACTGTATTACGGAGGTCTTTATTTAACTGGCTGATTGATTCTTTGTTTTAAAAAAAGATTTCATATTCTCTCTCAGGGTGACGAGTTTCAAAAGAATTTAATAAAATTGGTGAATGTTAAACAGAACCATTGGTAGTTAAACTAAATAATAATTGATCCATACTTTTCTGATATAACAAGTACCTCTCATCTAGAGGTTATTTAGAAAACAGCCAAATCATTTTTTAAAAACAAGTAATCATACATATATCCATCACATTTAAAAGAATTCTACTGTGGGGCTGGCCCCGTGGCTTAGTGGTTAAGTGCGCGCGCTCCGCTACTGGCGGCCCAGGTTCGGATCCCGGGCGCGCACCGACGCACGGCTTCTCCAGCCATGCTGAGGCCGCGTCCCACATACAGCAACTGGAAGGATGTGCAACCATGACATACAACTATCTACTGGGGCTTTGGGGGAATAAAAGGAGGAGGATTGGCAATAGATGTTAGCTCGGAGCCGGTCTTCCTCAGCAAAAAGAGGAGGATTAGCACGGATGTTAGCTCAGGGCTGATCTTCCTCACAAAAAAAAAAAAGAAGAAGAAGAAGAAGAATTCTACTGTGAAATGACAAAAATGTGACAAAATTTGCTCTCCAGGAGAAGCTGGAGTCTCCTGGAGAAGCTGCCATCTGGTCAAAGTTTAATTATAGAATGGACAGTAACTCAAAACCACTAATTCATTTATTCTTTCATTTAACACTGTACTTACATGGCAGGAGGCTAGACCCTGACTGCAATCAAAGATCAACTCAATAAAATATCTGCCTTCAGCAAATGTAAACCTTCTCTCCGTCTTTCCTTCCCCTCAGAGACGGGCCTTTTGATGAGTAGTGTGTGCTCGTCCTCTCCTCTCACGTCCCCTTTGATTCTCACTCCTGTTGAGTCAGGTGCCACTCACACTAGTCCAGTGAACTCCCTTCTCAGGGCAACAGCCAGCTCCTTGGTGCTCAATCCAACGGTCACTTTTCCTCATGGCGTTCCCTGCCCTCTCCCCAGACCCTGACACTGCTTCATGAAATGGATGGCTACATTCCTGGGTTTTGAGGCCCTCATGGCACAGGGGGCCTTGCTCTGGTCTATGAACTTTGTGTTTTCACCAGTAACACAGTGGGGAAGCAACCGTAGCAGAGTCCCCAGCACAGTGGCCTTTTCCCAGCCTCTCCTCCTTGAGGAGGGGCACCCAGGACTCTCCCTTTGAACTGGGCACTGTAGAATGATGACAATCACCAAAATGGAAAAAAAACCCTAAAAATAACAATGGCACACAAACAGGACAGGACTATTTAATGAACTTTCCAGACTTACCAACTTCTTCTGTGAGACAAAATCAACCTTTGCACTAAGTCGACCTGGAATTCCTGACCTGATTATAGTTGTGACCCTAGGAAGGTGTGGCTTTTCACAGAAGAATAAAAGCTCAGAGTCCAATTTATTTGAACGGCCATGAAAAGATAATCTTATTTTAATCCTAAATTGATAGTACGTGTTTATCTTAATTCTGGATCTCTCTGTTGAGCCCCATATCCATTTGTCCACCAGGTATTGTCATTTGGATATGTCACAAACAACTCAAATTCAGCAGGCACTATCCTGAATTCATGATCCTTACCCTCTGATCCTGCACGTCCTGTACCTGCTGTCCTGACGTTATGCCACATTCATCCAGTTACCAAATAAGAAACCTACAAGTCATCCAAGATATCCCCTTTTAACTCACTTCTCCCCACATCCAGTCTCTAAGTCACAATGATTTCACTTCTCTAATATTTCTATAATTCTCCTCCTTGATGATGATGACAAAAATGAAAATGAGATTAATAGCAGTAGTATTGACCAACTCAGCAGCGATAGAAGGAGTAGCAGCAGGAACTGTCATTTACTGATTTCATAACCATTTAACCTTTAACCACGCACACACACAGAAAGGACCGGAAGAAAACAGCAAAATGCTATTGCTGATGGTCCTAAGTCCTGCATCACAGAATTCCATATAATTTTTTATTTTCTTCTTCATAAAGTATGAAAACCAAAATAGTTTTTTAGATTTTTCAAAGTAAGTTTGTTTTACTTTACTGATAGATAATGAAGAATGCTGAAATGTTTCCTTCTTATTTATCTATGAACATTTGAATCAATCAACAAATCAAATCTAGGTTACGGATAAAGCATGATAAAAACAGTCAAGTGGTTTACGCTTACAAACAGTTACTTCCGAATTTTTCTAGCAAGCCTAAGATAATTTAATATTCACAGCTATTCTCTCTGTATCACACAGCTGTGTGTGTGGTCTTGCTCTCCAAATACCTAGAGAATAGCCAGCAAACAAAAATGAAAGACTTGCAGTCAGCAGGTAAATTATGTTAAGTAAGCCTAATATAAGATACCAGGTTACCATTTTCTTTCATAATAGGTAAAACTAACTCAGCAGGGAAAGAGATATAGTTAAAGAATACTAACAAATTTTAGAGAGGCGTGCATAACAAATTCATTCCCTGTTTTACCTGGTGTCATAATACAGAAATTTCCTCTATAAACATGAAAAAGTTAACTTCTTTTAAAAGCACAACTTTTTCTCCTCTTTTGAATCTGATTGTCCTGGGTTTCAATACTGCTCATCCTCTTTGTAATTCTGGTGAAGTTACTCAGCCTCACTGAACATATAAAATTGGGATAAATTACACCATTCTCATAGGTACAGTGACTATATATTCTGGTTTGTCTAAGGCAGTCTCAGTTTATGCTAGTTATCCTCGAATAATTATTAATAGTACTCCCTTTCACTTACACAAGTGTCCCAGTTAGGACAATAAAAATATATGGTCACCTATTATGGATTGAATTGTGCCCCCCCCCCCATTCACATGCTGAAGTCCTAACCCATAGTACCTCAGAATGTGACCTTATTTGGAAACAGGGTCATTGAAAATGTTACTGGCATAGTGTGGGCCCCTAATCTAATATGACAGGTGTCCTTATAAGAAGATGGCCATGTGGAGACAGACACACAGGGAGAATGCCATGTGAAGACTGGAGATACGCTGCCACAAGGCAAAGAAATACCAGAAGCCAGGAGAGAGGCCTGGAGCAGCCCCTTCTCTAGCACCTTCAGAGGGAGCATGGCCCTGCTGACACCTTGATCTTGGACTTCTGGCCTCCAAATCTGTTAGACAACAATTTTTTTATTGTTTAAGTGACTCAGTTTGTGGTACTTAGTTAGGGCAGCCCTAGCAAACTAATACAACCACTCTACTCACAACAGGCGGTGATTATTATCATCACTAATAGCTATCTCTCTGCTGCCCACGAGGACTGTGTAGACTGCTCAGAATAGAAACTGGTGCTTCTAGAGGATCGGTATTTCTCCCCCAGCCCCACTCCACCCCTGAGATGCAGTGATACTCAGCTGGTATAGCTGGAAAAGTTGAGTAAGTTCAACTCCACTCATTCATTCTACCATCCCAGAGTATAACTCCAGTTTTAAAGGATGTCACTGGGTAAATGGTTCTGATAAACAGAATGTATCTGAAAACTAGAATGTGTGGTTTGCAAATCAGCTTAGACTATGTTAATCTGCTATTCTCTCTACCCTTTTGGTTGGAGCCCATTTAGGGCAATCCTTAGCCTCTGGGGACAAAGCCATCTGCTGTCCCACACAATCTGAAGCTGAAGGTTACCTGTACAAGTCAATATGTTAATAACTATTAAAGTCACTTGCCTAATTTGCATATTAAGCAAGCTGCTATACTTAGGTTTTTTTTTCATTATGCATATGATACTTTCCTTCATTATTTCAAGTTACTGTGATGAGTATGTTTCCAGGAAATATTTCTGTCTACACATAAAATTATCCTGGTATGAACAGGAACTAATCTTCAGTTTGAGTTAACTCTAAGAATACAGATCTTTCTTATTTGAATGTTGCCAGTGCATCAGTTCTGATATATAATATGATGCAAATCAAAATAACCACTATTTTTTAATTTCGCTGGTAGATTTAGACACTGTCTTCATTTTGCTTAGGCTAGTCACAGCGTTCAAATTCTGACTAACATAAAAATTAGCTAATTTGAAAATTAGCTAAAAAAATGGAGCTACAAATGAATCTAAATGGAAATAATAATAACAATAGCTGAAACATAGAAAGCCTACTACTATTAGGCTCTGTTCTACTGTTCACATTGCTTAATGTATATCAGCAATTTTAATTCTTGCAGCAACATTTGATCTAGGTATTCGTATCCCTAGTTTACAAATGAGGAAAGTAAGGCACAGAAAAAAAGAGTAATTTGCTCAAGATGACACAGCTATTAAATGGTGGAATCAGAATTTTAACCCTTAACTCATACCGTCACATAAATTTATAATATGGCTAGTATTTTGTGTAAATTAGGTTAGACTTTCTGAAGTTATTGACAAAAACTCTGCTTCTTGCAATAACAGTTAACATTAACCAGATCTTTCTGGCTGGTAGACTCAGGCATTCTTTTAGTTATCAAAGCTCACCAGGAAAAGGTAGGAGGCAGGTTAGGCATGTGTGTTATGTTTCAAAGCAGATCCCAAGCAAACGCAAATACTGACATAATATTAAACGGTCCCTTGAGAACTACATATAG